TCAGCCACAGCTCGACTCCTCGCGCTCCCCAGCCAGCTTACGGGCAGAAACACACACGAGAACATGGCAGCAGAAGTTGCTTTTTGCTCTTCCTGCCATCACTGAGGAGCAACTGCGTAACGAGGAACACCAAGACTGCCTTTTAGTGAACTAGGACAGGGAGGAAGTTCACCGAAGGTATAAAAAAAAACCCAAATCCTGCACTGCCAGTGGTATTATGGAAACACGTAATGGACAAAGCTGCCACTGTAAAGTGCTCCTGGGCAAGGAGGAGATGTGACTAAAGCACGGGGACAATAAGTGACAGCTACTGCATGTCGTCTCTGCGGTCAGAGCAGAGACACGTTATCTGCCAACCGAGCCACAGCAGTGACGCAATCCCTGCAAAGCTGGGTCATGCGTGCTTTTTAGGACACAAAACGATAGAGTCGAAAAGAATGAACACGGGCTACCCAGGGCTCTTCAGAATTAACAAACAAGTCAAGTCAGAGCCACGCTGTCACTCATGGGCACTCCTGTGAAGAACGCAGGGCTGGCATAACATGGTCATTGCTCAGCCAGACTGACCCGCTGCTGGTACACGATGAGCAGGAGGCTTGGAAACCCTGCTAGGTCACAAAGGACAGGGCATGCTGCTCTCGCAGAGCCTGACTGAAAACAACAAAAAATATCCATCCACCTCCCCTGCACCCTGTCTGACCGGGGGAAAAGCAGTTTTTCCTCTCCCATAGGATCTGCCTCACCCTCTCCCTCCAGCTCTGCAGGGAGCATGCTGTTCGCAAAGTGAAGGGCAACGCAGCCTAGCCCAGTGTCCGGATTAGGACAAGCAGGATTTTCTCCTGACTACCTCTGCAGCTTGGCCAACGTGCCTTAGCCTTGGTCAGCAGCACGCCCCGCTAATCTGATCCCCGAGCCCCTCCGCAGAGGCAGCTCCATCCCTGCAAAAGCAGGCAGCGGCTCTGGGCTGGCAGGACAGGCTGCAGGGACAGCACGATCCCGCCTTGGCCCTGTGCAACCTCATACGAGAAAGGCTGGAGGGATCTTGCTGCCAGAACATGGGGCAACCACTGAGGAGGGGGATTGCAGCCTCTCTCCTGGGAGAGCCAAGCAGAGGCAGGAACGTCCACAGGATGCTCCAGGAGCTGGACCATACCACCCCACATGCCACCTCTAGCCAGCTACACGCAGCAAGCAGAGAAAACAGGCTAGGAAAGATTGAGCTCAACAGCCTGCTGGGACCGCATCAGGTATCAACTTCTTTTGATGTTTCTCTATTCACACCTTTTGCTAAATTCTCCCCAAAGTCCTGTTACTGACACCTCCAAGCACTACAGCCCCTACCTTTGGGCACAGGCAGGAAGGTGAGAGGTTTGTGAAACAGCATCTGCAAGACATGTTTAGGGGCCATCAGAGACTCAGCCAAGCCCACACAAGTCTCCAGTGCTTGCCAAAGGGGGTAATCTGGGCCAGCTCTGTCCCCACTGCACAGAGACCCCCTCCCACCCCAGCACAAGCTCAGTTGTGATTGCATCATATCAGCAGCGCTGGTCTCATCTGGTTTGTGCTATTTGCATGTTCCCTGCCCACCTGTTCTCTTCCAAACGTTGCTCCCACAGGATGGGACACCAGAGGCCTGCCTAGACAGGCCCAGCACACAAAAGCCTCCTTGCAGTGCAAGGAGGGAAGCAGGGAGCACTGTGGTCTACACATCTGGTCTGGCCAGCATCTTCTGTGCTTCTCAGGTCTCCAACTGCTGCTTTACAGCATGCAAAGATTTTTGGTTTTCCTTCCTACTTGAAGATGTGTTTGGAAACAAGGACCAGCAACACGCATGTTCATCAGCAACACTGCAGAAGTGGGATACTTTTCAATTACACCAGCCTTCATGCTTTTCGTCATGTTGGTATCTCAAGTGACTTATTCTCTCAACATATCCAGAGCAGAGAGCTCTGAGCACTCCTGTCTTCAGCAAGGACTTTCTGCTGGGCCCTCTAAGGGCTTTCACCTCCAGTCTCTGGGCTGGCTGTTACACCACCTGCTTGATCTTCTTTTCTATCCTTTGCTTAGAACAGAAAGTGTCCAAAAGCAATTTTTGCAGATCCCCAAGCCTCTTAAGAATTTATTTTAAAAGATTTAAAATAAATGTATTATGTTTTTATTATTTACCATATTATGTACCACACACTGTGACAGCTCAACAGAAAAAGCGCCGAGCATGAGTCTGTGAAGCACTGACTATCCTGAAAACTCCAAACATTCAATTTCAAGCCCTTTAAAAAAAATCCCACTGAGTTCAATGAGACTGTGTATAGTCACTTTGTGCTTCTTTGAGCTTTTTTTTTTTACATTTAAAAAGATCAGGATTAACAGTCTTATTTTCCTGGGCTGCCAGAAACCACCTCTAGTTCTTAAGAGGTATGCAACACTACACCAGAAGAGTTAGGAAACCCAGTAGTACTCTTTACATATAAAATTTTGAGTTACTAACATTTAAAAAAAAAAAGTTTTTATAATGAACTTACCATTTGCCTTTTGTTTTCTATCAAGTTTGATCCAATTATTCCAAGAAACGACCCAAAACCAAGCTGAAAAACAACATATTGTTAGCATTTAGATCAGGACAATATCCAACACGTTTTACATACAGACAGAACACAATTAAATCCAGAAGCAGCAAAAGAACATACTGCGGATGTGTGAGCACTCTTCCTTCAGCAAGGAACCAGTGGAATCTCTCACTAGCAGGAACTATCAAGTGTATCCCTTATATGACACTAAAAGCGTGTGGAGAAACCAAAAGGATGAGTTCTGAATTCCATCCCCTCCCCAGTGATGCTGAGAAATGGCTGGTGGATAAGGATATGCACTGCTGCCTTGGAAGAACCCTACAAACACTCAGGAGCCTCCGGATGCGAACCTAACAGGACCAGATCACTCGCATCTGCAGGGCCAGGCTTTTGTAACCCCACCAAGCGTGCGAGCAACAACCCAAGTTTTCAACTTGGAGGGTTTCTTGATATGAAGTATGAGATAAGGGAGAATTATACTCGGGAAGATTTAGCAGTTTTCTGTCGTCTTCTACTCCTCCCTCACTTTCAGGGGTGAGGATGCATCAATCAGGGTCTTCTACCAGAAGAGCTCACGCCAGCCCAGCCAACAGAATAAGCTACTCCAATGAAAGCATCTTTTCTTGCTGCCATACTGGACAACACTGCTCTTATTTCAGCTCAGTGAAGTCAGCCAGGAGTGTGATTTCCCACCTCCTTTCTCCATAGCCTTAAGCTATTTAGCTACACTAACCAGAAGTTTCTAGGACAGAGCACATCTCAGCCAGGCCAGAAATAAGGACTTCAACCAGGAACCACAGACCACGGGGGGAGATGCAGAAGCACTTCTGTGTCACACCGAGAAAAGTCTTTGATCAGTGCAGAGCATATCCAAACTCGACTGCTATGGGCTGTCAAAACGAGAAATGCCGGAAAAGTCCTACAGTTGGACTGGTCATATTAATCAGAGTCAAATCCAGTCAATAGACACAGGGGGCTGTGAAGATCCAAGTGAGAACGGCAAATAAGTGGCCAGCTCTTCAGGAAGCAGAATAAGGCACAAGACAAGCTGCAGTGATTCAAGAATGAGTCAACTAACCTGGAATCGATATTTTAAGATCCAGGAACAGAAAACAAAGGTTTAATACATCCGATACTAACAAGCAGAGGCACGTGCAGAGATCAGCAGACACAAACATGGTGAAAAGCTGGGCTTAAACCTTCCCCGGCTCTACTTAAGCCCAGAAACGTTTGGTGCAGTGTGCGGGCAGCGGGCTCCAACACAGGGATTAAAGCGGAGCGGTCGATCAGGCTGCTGCTTCCCGGCTGCCTGCCTTGCACTCCGAGCTCTCGGAAATCGTTGTCCCCACGTCAGGGACAAACCGCCATGGTGGGAAGCTCTGCAATGAAGCCAGGTGCTGCTGAACACCAGGCAGAGAGCCAGGGGCACTGCTGATCTGCCCCAAACTCATCTGCCACTGCTTCTGGGCTTATTATTTTGCTCAGGTTGGGCAAGCAACAACCTCGACCTTCCCCAAGTAATAGGAGTTTTACAGCTCAATTCCAAGCCCAAAACCTGGGAGAACCAGGCGTTATTTGCAGCCTGGTGATGTTTAGCAGCAAGGAAGTTGTGTGGCAACACACACCTAAGGCAGATGCTCAAGAGAAAGGTTTTGTGCCCTTTGAGCTTGATCTAACACGTTTAAGAGAAACGTCCATGTGGTGTTTCAGAGCAGCCTCAAACCAAAACGTGAAATACTTCAGATAATTCAAGATAATTCAAAAAGAAGTAACTAGAGCAAGTCTGTTCATCCAACAGGTGAAGACCAAATAAATCAGTAAATTCTCATTAATTAATGAGAATCCTCGTTGCATTAATGGGAAAACCACTTGTTCTTCTACGGATGGGATAAAGAGATCTTAGTAATCTGCACCAAATGCATCACTTCTTTGCCGGTTGATATGATCCCCTGAGATGTCTGTCTGAAAGGAGGAAAGGACACACAAAACGAATGAGCTTTTCCAGAATAAAGTCCCAGGCCAACATGCTTGACAAGGAACCATTACAGAAGAGGTTTGTCAGTCAAAGCCTAAGAAAGGTCAGTCATTTACACAGATGCTGGAAGCTGGTATGAGTTGGAGACCACATGTATCTCACGGAGCCTCACTTCCATATGGGCGCTTGCCCTCTGCACCTCATCATTACACTTGTCTGCTGAGCATCACTGTTACACTCTGGGCTCCCCAGGCTCAGGTCAGTCATCCAGCCACAGCTGAGGGTATTTCCCACAGAGACACAGCCAGGGTGTTCACAGATGTAGTTGTGAAGGTGTCGGTGGTCATGGAGCAGAGTGAAGGCAGCTCGGCTACAGGACACGTCATCGCACCCTCTGCTTCAGCTCCTCCAGTTGTGTCAGTGAGGAACTTCACTGCTTGGAGAAAATAAAAAACAAACACAGATGCTGCAAAAAACCCAACTAAACAAAATCCCACTGATATGTGGAACGTCTCCAGTGCCTGGATCTGTCCTTCCTTGGGAGCAGAGGCCTCGGAAGATAATCTCCTGCATCAGACAAGTCGCTTCTTCACATGTTTCCTCCTTGCACAAGAGGTGTTTGTCCAAGGCACACGAGTTAAAGCAGGAAAGAACAGTGCATCAGGCATGGCAGCGACGAGACATCTGATGTCCCATGAGATGACTCCATCCATGGATCTGGTCCATACAGAAGTCACCTAGCACATGAAGAGACTCCTGGTTTTATCTTTTTCTTACCAATGCAGGATACTCAGGGAATGAGTTAGGGAATGCCTAACGGTGGTGCACCCCTGACAGTGCACAGAAACCCCTGATGCAGATGCACACAGGCCTAACGTTCATGTGAAGTTCTGGATGACAAGACCTGCAAGGAGCTGCTTCTTTGGGGCTGTAGAAGCCACCTGGTCGAGGACGACTCACCAAGTACTCATGCACCACAGCCAGCCCTTCTTCCACAGTAAAGGGAGAAATCCCATCTTGTTACGAAACATCAGCTATTTTAAGCACCTGCTGAAGAATCCAGCAGCACACTGAAATGTTTTCCCGCACAGGGAGACAAGCGAGGTCGTCACACGCTTCCGTACAGCGGATTAACGAACTGAGAGGGGGAATTTGGTGACAAACACAAACTGTCAGGGTGCCTCTGAATAAAGTAACTCAACACCCTTCCCAAGTCCAGGAATTCATTATTTCCTTGAGTAGACTGAGTCTCACAAGAGCGTGAGCGACGCTGACGTCCCCAGAGCATAAATAGCGCGGGAGATGTCAAAGGGACGCGAACAACAGGCTCTGCCCACCTGCACCACTCTGCAGGGCCTGCTCTGGAGCACGAGGTTCCACTCAGGCTGACAGCGCGTAGGCTAAGTGCGGAGAGCTTGAAGTCAGTGTGTCACCTTTCTCAGCACCTTCCTTCTATGCTTCTCTTTAAAAAAAGATCAGGCCTAAATGCAGGAGTTACTGAGACAAGTCAGAAAAACAATCCTCAACCAAAGAGGCCCAACACAGTGTGCATCCACACTAATGGCTGCAAAGGGGCTTTCTTCGGTCCTAGGAGAGCTTGTCCACAGAGAAGCATAAACCTCCCTGAGATGAGCAAAGCATGGCGAATAAATCAAACTGCAACAAGGCAAGAACAAATCTCCACCTAGTTATCTGGACTGGCTCTAAGCCTCCAACTTTGAGGCTCCAAACCTAAACGCAGCTGTTACACCAGGAACCTCTAGCTTGGCGGCTGCAGTGACGCTCAACCTGCTAAGACACCCAATTTGGCTGCAGCTCAGTGGTCTTCATGCTTCTTTTTAAGCACGTCTCAGACATGCAGAGGAACAGACCAGGACTTGCTTTCCAGCTCGTGTTAGACCTCTGCTCACACCAGGAGGGGCATGACGTACTTGCCCCCGATGCTTCTGCAGGAGGTTATGCATCTACCAGGAAGAAGGCTGGGCACCAGTCCTTTCCCATTTTCATCTGTCGATAACAGAGAAAGAAGACATGGCTGTGCTAGCTGC